ATCATTTCCTGAAACCAAAAACTGAGTCCTGTGCTAGTAGAATTCATCTGTAAATGACAGATTATCCTCTACATGTTTCACAGGCAGCTACCATTACAGTGTCTATCTATTTGGGATTGCTTTCAATGCTGACAGGAAATATAATCCCTGGCATGGATTTTCTCAAATCTCTAGAATGGATACTGTTCAAGACTCTTATGTTAAGAAACACCTTTGAAGGCTTCCATTGTTTCTACAAAGCAAAATTCCTTGTCTCTCTCTCTCTGTGCCTGTCTCTCTGTCTCTCTCTCTCTCCCAGTCACCTTATCTCTCTCTTTCTTCTTCCTTTTCATTCTTTCCTCTCCATCTTCCTCTCATCCACACATCAATATTGGATTGACCAATAACTAGAATAAATTCTTATCTTCTTAAACTATATTTCTCCCTTACTGTTTTCTTTCTCCTTAAAGCACTATATGAGTGGTTTAAGAAAAAAAAATCTATTTTGAACATGATGCTGCCTTGCTCAAGGTGGCAATTTTGCTCCCTTTCAGCTGTCAGGATTGTGTGTGGGTTACATGTATACCATTTCTGTCATGGGACAAGCCACAGTATGTATGTATGTATGTATGTATTTATTTATGTTATTGTAATGATGTACAGAGGGGTTCTGGTTTCATAAATCAAATAAGAAGTCCATGTCTTTTTGGACAATGTTACCCCTTTCTTCTCTCTCTTCACATGACGAGTTTTTGCTACTTCTGAGTTTCTTGTTTTTTGGTCGGTCATGGGGCTTGAACTCTGGGCTTGGGTGCTGTCCCTGTCCTCTTCATCTCAGGCGAGCACTCTACCGCTTGAGCCGCAGCGACACTTCTGATTTTCTGAGTGGTTTATTGGAGATAGGAGTCTCATGGACTTTCCTGCCCGGGTTGGCTTTGAACTGCTATCCTCAGATCTTAGCCTCCTGAGTAGCTAGGATTACAGGCATGAGCCACCGGCGCCGGGCCTACTTCTGAATTTCTAATAATGGCATTTCTATACATTCTGGAACCCAAACGACTATTTATTCAGAAGCTTTGAGTTAGTGGCAAAATCACAGCATATCTCTGCTTGGGTTGATCGATTTTTCTATCATTTTTACATTAGTATATTTCCTATGTACAATTTTTGCATTTTTCCATTTTATTACCAGTCACACAAGTAGTTATTTTAAATAATGTTATAGGCTCCTTTCAAGCATAGAAATAATGTTACCTGAGTACTTTGATTAGATTAAACATTTTACAAGACTAGAAATGTTTAGATAATAATATTCTATACAATTACTTTATTAAATGTGACAAATCTTGGGTCAGTAGAGGGCAGCCATGTCAAAGATCTGTGACTCTCTTTTGTTGTTTTTAGATACTGAACCTTTCTAGAACTTTTAGGAAAATCTTAGGGAGACTCATGCAGCTATAAGATTAGCATTTGTTCAGAGATAATTTATACATTTGCATAATTTTAAGATTTATGTGTTAAAGTTGTGCTGCTTAAAGCTCTCAAAGATCATACTTCAAAAATCATTTTCATTATTTAGTTTTTGATCATATTTTTTCTGAAAGTAGTATCACTTTCTGATGTTTATTTTAACATTAAGTCATTCTTTACCCAGAAAGCTTGGCAAGCCTCTATATTAAAATAGTATTTACCTAATGCCTATTTTAGAAATGACAGTGATAGAAAACTTGAGAAGGTTCCCTGCTCTATACACATCCTAGATGAATATTAATCTACTTGCATTTGTTTGACAAATATTATTTTAGAAAATATTATTAGAACTTAATCTGGAGATAATATTTACCATAGAAAGAAAAATATAAATAAAATTTTGATTGCTGCCCAAGAATAAGTGACAAGTGTCTGAAAAATGTAGTGATAATTATTCAAGCATTTTGCACCGAGAGATTTGTTTATAAGATTAAGCTGGTCTGCTCAAGAAGTATTTTGCTCTCTTATTTATTCAGGCCATTTCTCAAATACTTAAAACATAGTTCCAAAGAGAAGATATATGAGGTACATGACTTAGATCAGTTTTTCAATGATAAGGGATCCATCAATAGTTTTTGTGCATGAGAACCACAGCCTATCACTTAGAAAAACTACCTCAACTGCTGAGCATCAGTTTGTAATGTGGGTTACCTGAGAAGAAAAGGAGGTGATGATGTATCTCAGGGAGATTTGCTCTGTAGTGTTTGTTCTTATGTTTCTTTAGTAGATTAAAAAAAATGGCACCTTTTAAAATTACTAGTTCTTGAAAGGATAAAATGCTATACAAATAACATTAGGTTGTGAAAAACTTGCAATTTGTCTTAAATCATGACATTCTTTTAATATGAGGACATAGAAATATATTACTAACACAAATAATTTGAACAATAATATACTAAGGCAAACATATCTATAACCCCATTTTAAACACTCAGATTTAAATCTATGTTCTTCTTTTACTTTATTTTTATTTTATTTCTTTTTAGTGTGTGCCAGTCTTGGGACTTGAACTCAGGTCCCAGAACTTTTCTTTTTGCTTTGTTTCTCTCAAGGCTAATGCTCAATTGTTTGGGCTACAGCTCCTCTTCCAGTTTTTTGGTGGTTAGTTAGAAATAAGAATCTCACATACTTTCCTGTTTGACCTGGTTTTGACCCACAGTTCTTAGATATCAGCATGTGAGTAGCTAGGATAACAAGCATGAGCAACCAGCAGCCAATTTAAGCTAGTTTTAACTCGCCATTTTGGTAGCACTTGAGTTTGAATTGAAGGCCTCCAGCTTGTTAAGCAGGCTCTCCACTTTTGAGCCACTTTTGCTATGGACACTTTTTGCCCAAGCTGACCAGGATTTGATCCTCCTATTTATGTATCCCACTACACCTTGAAGCAGAAGTGTTCACAAACATGGTCATATTTTTCTGTTGTAGTGGGGTCTAGCTCACCTCAAACCATATTCTTCCTGATTTCCACCTGTAAAGTAACTGGTATAGCAGGTCGGAGACACCAATGTCTGGCTGAGTTTAATTTCTTGATTTTACCTATTTTGAAAATGAGAGCAGAATAACCTCTTTTAGAATAATGAAGAGTTCCTTTCTAAGCACCAGGAGGATACTGAAATAATCGTATAATATTTTAATAGCTCTAAAATTGCTTAATTTGATCAAATTGCAAAGAACAGGCTGATACCGATGCTCTTTCAAAATTCATTATGACATGGACTCTAATACTGACAATGATAATACCAAAAAGACTATGAACTGATCTCAGATGTGAATATCAATGTAGAAACCTCAAAAATAATATTGGGAAATGTAATGTGGTATTGCTTTTAAGAACCCCATACCAGTATAAATTTGATGAGCTACTTCAATTCAAAACAAGATGTTGCTGTATTTCAGTACAGTGCAAATGAAGGAAAATACCATCTTCTTTTTGTTAACTTGAAACATTGAAGAAAGTAAACATATACCTCTGACATACATTCTTAAGCAAATATGAATAGATGTAAACCTTCAAACATGTAAAATGACTCATATCTCCAAAAGAGATGCCAGTTATAGAAAAGACCAGAAGCATTGTCATTTTGATGATGAGCTTGCTAGTATTCCTAGTCAAATTAATACAAGAAACAAATTGAAATTATTAAAGGAGAGGCAAAAACATCATTCATTGTCTCATTATTTTGAAATACATGGAACCTTTGTGGAAAGTTAGTGAGAAAATTATTAGGAAATAAAGACTTGGGAACAAATTGCAATATTTGTGTTTAAAAATGTGTTTTTGTAATAACTATAAAACTTGAAGGAAGAAAAGATTAAATATATAATAGCATTCGCAAATATTAAATATCTAGAAACAAAATTGAACAAATATATAAAACAAACATTAACAATGAGTTCTATAAAAGGCAATGCTTGAAGCATAATGTTCTTGGACAAGAAACAGTATTCATTCAAAAGTATCTTTTTACTAGATTTGTTAGTACAAAATGGACTTTAAAAATGTTAAAACAAAAAAGGCAGGAGTATATATTGAAATGCCTGCTTTGCATGTTTGAAGATCTGGATAATTTTCTTATTTTATTAAATGTGAAGGTACATATTTTTGTTCTGTGCTAGTAAATAAAATGGTTGCTGAATAAGAAAAGATTTGCAGTACTGTGCTCATTGAAATTATGATTTTCATAAAGAACATATGCAACTATTCAGGTAGCAAATGTTCCCACGAAGGAATGAAATTCCCTCATAGAGTTGGTTGCAGTGGTTTGGCTTTTCCATTGTTAATCTGATTGAAAAAAAATCTTTGCTAAGGCTTTTGTTCTTTGTGATATTGTATATGATTTGTGTAGTAGTATTTGACCTTTATGGAAAGTTTTATAAGAGCTCAGGTCTGAGAATTCAGACCACTGGGTTTAGTGTTCGACTATATCTTTTTGTAATTCATAAGAATTGGAAAAAAGCTCTGTGCCCTTCTTGACTATTTTTTTCATGTGGTGGCTTGGCCATATTAAAAAAATTATATTGTAGAGGTGAGGTACAGAAGGGTTACAGTCACCTAAATCAGGTATTGAGTACATTTCTTTTCCAGCAGTGTTATCCCTTTCTCCCTCTTTCCCAGTATTTCCATTTTTCCCTTCCTTTTCTCAAACTCTGTTTTCTCTTCCCCCACTAGACAATTACTAGCACATTAATATAATTACTGCCAGGGCCTTGCAATGTTTATTTCTATATATTACAGATTGAAATACAATACCCAATATAGTATATGCTATAGAATAAAATTATATATAAAAATTAGTATAAAATAATAGATAAAGAAAATATAAAACAAAAGTAAAAATTATATACCAAGCAACTATTACATAAATCCATGCCTATTATGAAATTGACAATGATTGGTTATTGAATTAAGTCAGAATATTTACTGTCACAATATCTAAAATAAAATCTCAGAAAAGAATCAAAATACAAATAATGATTTATCTTTCTTTCAGTGATAGTGGAAAGTGGAGAAGTCATTTCCTTTATGGCATTTATTAATTATGGGTATTGTAATGTTTATAGAAGCATCGTGGGACTAGTAAAACAACCATTAAACAAAGTGGTAAGTTTTAAATTTATGTATGTTTCTTCATAATTAATCTATTCTAACAAGTCAAGGATGTATAATATCTTTTCTCAGATATAATGAATGCTGCTTTGTTTCTTTGATGAAATTTCAGTTCAGTTATTTGACCATTTATTTTGTTGGTATATGTATATTGACTTGTAAGATAATATGTAAGATAAGGAGTAAAATGTTGAGTTATCAGTATAGAAATGAATAATAAGCATATTAAAATTATTAACATTTTTAATTGTTGGATAAATATAGGTTAAAATTATAGCAAAGTATAGCCACAATTATAATAGTCTAGCTAAGTTATACCTTGCTATATGAGCAAACAATTTCACTCCGGGTATTTATTCAACAAGAATGACAATATATATCTATGCAAAGATATAAAACAATTGCTAGAAATGGCTCACATATCTTCTGAGAGTGGAATAGATTTTGTAATATTCTGTTGCGTGCCACCAACAAGCAATAAGGAACTGTGAGAGGAATGGATGAACCTTGCTGGTAGGTTGAACAAAATGAGCACATTCCATTTCATACCATGTTTATGAACAGCTAATGTATAATCATAGAAGAATAAGGACTATTTCTTCTTGATCACACAGTCTTCAATAAATGTGTGAACAGACTAACACTCTGCTTACTATTCAGCATAAAGATAAAGTCAGCATAGAATTTTGACATTCATAGACATTGCAAATAATGAAACCTCCATTCTAGGATGAAGACTATATATTCACCTCTTATTATAAATTCCTGTGAGCTCTCTATCCTCATGCCTTTAGTTTTTATATCTTTATTGCTAACCTCATCACTGTCATTTAAGTACCGATTGGCTCTACCAGAAAAGATAACTTGAGATCTCAACTTTTCTTCAAGAGCCACATGAAATAAAAATTTGGTAGGCTCTTCTATAAACATTGTCTAATTTGAAATTAAATTTCTGGTTTGTTAAATCAATCTCACTTTTCTTTTTAAATTTTTTTTTTGTAATTGAAACAGGAGATGCAGTGGAGAATCCCTCCTCTCTCCATTATTTTTATAGATATATTTTTGTTGTTGTCCAGGTGATGTACATAGGGGTTATAGTTACATAAGAATAAATAAGTACATTTTGTGTCAAACTTGTTACGCCTTCCCTCATTTTTCTCCCATTTTCCTTCCCAAATCCCCTCAAAGTTGTACAGATCATTTCCAACATATTGTCTTGTGTATGCCACTGTTGCATTGGTTCTACCCTAATCCATTGGTTCCCCTCTTATCCTTTGTCTCACCATTTTTTGTTCCCCTTCTCTTTCCTAATTCAAATAAACATATATACAATACTAGGTATACCATAGGGGGAAGAACATGGTGGGGGCAGGGAGGATTGGGGGGTGGAGGTAGGATGGGAAGAGATGGGAAGGGGAAACAAAGGAGGAGGCTACAATGCTTGATAAGAAATATATTCATTATCATGCCCATGTAATTGTAACCCCTCTGTACAGTATTTTCACAATAAAAAAGAAAAAAAGAAACAATAAATCACATAGTACATTAAAAACAACAACAAAGAAATAAATGTCTGTGTCTATGTCTTGGAGTTCAATTTACTTAGCATCAACTTATATAGTTATATGTACATAGCTGTTGAGCTATTAGGTCTGCTAAGATTATTGACAATAAGGAAAACCAAGGGACCTGTGTTTCTTTGGGTCTGGCTTACTTCACTTAATCTGATATGGAACCAACCCAGATGCCCCTCAGTAGATGAATATATGCATGTATGCATATATGCATTATGTATATATGTATGTATATATACATACATATATGTATTATGGAATTCTATGTTTCTATCAGAAAGAATGACACCACCCCATTTGTGTTAGGGAATAGAAAGTCTCTCTCCATTATTCTCAACACCTCTGGCATGACACCTTCCACATCTTTCCTTTTAGTCTAGTATCTGTGCCTTGCATCAGAGGCTGAGGTAAAAAAGAAAGAAACATTATGCTAAACTAAGCTCTGATTACAAAGTCATATCTAAAACCTAAACAAATTGATCTACCTCAGTATTTATGAGACATTTTAATTGATCAGATAAGTTTATTTGGGTATAACTGACAATGCTGGAATTATCATTTAGCATCAGCCCTGAACATACAATTATTCTAATATGAACCCATGTATAGGAATTTTGCTTTCTGATTTGAGTGAAATTGCAAATTTACTGTAAAATGTGGCTTATGACTAAGTTTCTCATGATAACTATTTTATGCCAACAGTGAGCAACAATTATGTCTATATTTTGCAGAAAAAAATTCGAAAGCTCATTTATGTGGGTAGACTAAATGAGAAGGAGTCCTTTGGTGAGATTAGCATTCTTCTCCAAGTTCCTGTTACATGCACAATTATTACTGGAACAGAGGTAGAGATGGCAATCATTGAAGATGAAGACATATTTGGTAAAATATATAGGCTTTCAATTATGACACCATTTTATTGAATGAACTTTTGATAATGAAAGAGGTAGTTAACAGTTGATTTGGGGCATCCAAGCTTATGCATATATATGTACAGAGATAATAGCTCCTTATCTAGCTAGCTAGCTAACTTTCAGCTTTGTATAATATTTGGATTCAATTATGATACTTTTGAGCATATTATAAGCATTTTGAAAGGATTTGAAATACCTTTGTTAATTTCCAAGTCATTGTTGAAAAAAAACTTTCTCATCCTATCTTTTTGTTCTCAATTCCTAAAATTATTGCTTTTATTTTTGGTTCAGTTTAAGCATATACTTTTCTCAATTTAAAACAAAGATAAAACATAGCAAAACCTGTTGTTTATAGCTTTTAAGGTTTTTCTTCAAATTTAAAACTTTCATAACAATAAATATGTAATTATGCCTTCACTAGTGTTTGACTGTCCAAATGGGATAAATATGAAAATAGATATGCAATTGAGTCTCAGGAGACATCAGTAGTGGTTACAAAACAAAATGGGATATTGTACACTAAAACTTAAGAAAGGATGTTGAGATTGGGTACAGGATAAAATCGGAGAAATGTGTGGAAATCAACCTGAGCAAGAGGTATTTTTAAATAAGCGTAATTGAAAAGATTTTCTTATTATGTACTTGATCAAATATTCTTGTAATCAGTGTGAAATATAATGTACATCTCTTAAAGGTTGTGTAACCTATATTTTCCAAGTCCTGATTCAAAATAAAAAGAACATTTTAAATTCATGTGTCTACATTTCAAGTATAAAATCCAAACAAAATTTGTTAATATTCTCTCCTATGACATTCAAGTACAAACTTCCTCCCAGGTAAATAACACTTAAAATAATTACTAACTACCAATTAAAATGATAATATTCTCACTTGATAGAGGTCATGTTTTCTTTTCTTATAGTAATTACACTAACTGGAACAGAACAAATGCACTGTGGACTTTTATGTAAATCAACATTTTACTGTTATTAATAGTGCTTGAGAGAAATAGACGCAGTTGGATTTATGTAAATATGTAAGAGGAAATTCACAATGGGAACTTGTTTATGCAAAATTGTTTTTGTGATATGTGGTACTGAAGATCCACAATGCCCTATTCAACCTGGGGAATCAGAAAGCCAGTGGTAGAATTAGCCCAAATGTGAAAGCTTGAGAACCAAGAGAACTAATGTTACAACTCAGTTTGAGGCCAGTGATGTGGAACCTGGCAAGGTGCTGCCTACTGAAGGCCTGAGAACCAATATCCGACTGCAGAAGAAATGGGGCCATTTTGCTTCTGATGAAGCAGAGAATTCAGCTCTCCAGTTTTCTTCTTCGATTTCAATCCTCAGGGGACCTCAGTGTTGTCTGTCCATGTATCTTGGCAGAATGTAAGGCTGTCTCGCATGACATCCTAGAAGACCGCTTTCTTTTTCACCTTTCTTTTTTCTCTTTCATTTTTTTGTCATCATTACTTTCCTCCTCCTCCTTCTTCTCTTTTTCTTCTTTCTTCCATTCTCTTTTTTTTTCTGCTTCCTCTTTGTTTCTATCTTTCTGTTCCTCTCTCTTTCTCTGTCTCAGGGCCTCCTATTGCTAGGCAAATTCTCTTCTACTTAGGCCATATCATAAAGCCCTTTGCTTTGTTATTTTGGAATCATTTGGTATTTTTTCCCCAGGCTGCCTGAACTTTGACTTTTATTTTAGTCTTTCTGAATAGCTGGATGATAGGCATGAGCCACTGTGCCCAGCTTTTTATTGGTTGAATGGGAAACTTTCTGCCGGTGTAAGCCTTGGAATGAAGTTATCCCGTTCTTCTCCTCACAAATTAAAAGTGTGAACCAGCAAAATCAGCTGGTCAGTTTTAGCAGGAAGGCTGTCTGAATGTCCAAAGACATGTATCTTCTTAACAGTTCATTTGAGCAAAAGAATACAAAATTGTATAAATATGTTAGTTGGTATGCAAGTATATATATATATATATATATTAACTGAAATAGGGCAGATTATAAATTTATGAGTCAATTCTTTGAATGGAATACAAGTGCATACAAATAGATCAACTTAAATATGGTAGATTCAAGGGAGAGCTCAGTGTAATTCCTTAGACAAAGTTGAGTAAAATAAAACACCAGGAATCTGGTACCTGAAAGAGTTTGGAGTGGGTGGGGTCAAGGGGAAAGATGTGGACAAATGAAGAAGAGAGAGAAGGAGAATGCAATCAAGAATCCAGTGTTTATTCTACAAAATTAAGAAGAGTGAGAGGAGTGGGTAAGGGAGGAAAAAGTGAAAATGTGGTAAGTGGTGACATTGATACTGTATTCGTAAACTATGTTGTTAAATGGAAACTCCTTTGTAGTACTACTTAAACATATTTTTTTTTTTTTGTCAGTCGTGGGGCTTGAACTCTGGGCCTGGGCGTTGTCCCTCAGCTCTTCAACTCAAGGCGAGCGCTCTACCACTTGAGCTACAGCGCCACTTTAAACATAATTTTAAAAAGCATAAAGTATGAGAATTTTTTTTACTATAGTTAAATCTACTTGGCATTTCAGTGACGATAATCATATTCTAATCCAATAAAAGACCTTCTTTTCAATCTTTCAATACTCTTCTTGATGCTGAGACCCAAGTTTTTCACTATTAACAATCATGATTGTATAACATGAGGCTATTTTCTGCTTCATTTCTGCTTCAGTTATTTTGCAAATACATTGAAAATATTTTTTATTGTTGATAGCAGGATAAAAACAAATTAGGGGGTAACAATGTTCAACAAGAAATGTACTCATTACCTTACTTATATAACTGTAAAACCTCTGCACAGCATCTTAACAATAAAATAAAATTTTAAAGAATCAACCATGTTGAATATCATATTGACATTTTAAAGTAATTATTACTTGGAGTAATTAAGTTTGTCTTATAAAATACTATATATCACTTATTTTCACAAGTTTATATATTTGAAGATAACAAATCAGAAATCACTGTAATATTATTATAGTTGATTTAAAATATAAAATAATATATAATATATTATTTATGCATATATTAGTATACATTATACATTATATACATGCATTCATATATATGGCACCTCAGAAATTTAATGACTGATTTATTTTGTAAGAGGTCAATCTTTTTGCTTGAATTTCACTTTCATTTAATTCAAAAGCAAAAATATTAAAACAGTTCAATTTATGGATTTTGGATAACGAAATTATTATCAGGATATTTGTTTGAAGGTAGAGTTGGTTTTATTTCTTAAGATATGATATCAAATACCATGCTACCCGTCTCAAATGTGCTGATGCTCCACCATATATCTTATATTTTGCTTTAAAATATAATCCTTGAGAGGAGGCATTAATGCTTGATAAGAAATGTACTCATTATCTTGCTCATGTAACTGAAACCCTTCTGTACAGTATTATCACAAAAAAACTTATAAAAATATAATCCTTGATGGGTTTTATATTCCATAATTCAAAAGTTCTACATTCTCACTACCATGCTAATCCATCAATAAATTCACTTTTCTATTGGTGAAAATAACATCACACCATTTTGACATAGCTAGATTAAAAGATTCGAATTTATTAATTTTAATTTCCTAGTTAATAAATACTTTAAAGCTAATAACTTTTGGGTTTGTAGATGCCACAAGCAATCATTGGATATCCAGTGAATAGCTAGTTTCCTAAACAAGTACATTTCACAGAAAACATGCACAAAGGAATTTTATTGGCATTTAAGTTCTTTTTTATTATTAGAAAACTTCCTTTGCACTTTAAAATCTCAGCACATTCATTTTATGATCCCTTTTAAGCCATAAAATGTACCATGAATCATTTTAGCTGCCAAATATTCTCAATTGAGATATTAATAAATCTAAACTTGATTTAACATTGATGACCCTTCTACATGCTTGTGTTAGTTTGCATTTGCTTTGAAACAAATCACCATAAAGTTAGCAAGCTAAAATAAGTTATTTGTAATCTCAAATTTCATAGGTCAGATATCTAGAAAGTTTGACTCTTTTCTGTTCTTAGGCTCACACAGCTGAAATCAAAATTTTGATTAGCCAGAGATTTCATACAAAGATTGGAAAAAAGTCACTTTCAAATAATTGAAAGTGGAAAAACATTGCTAACAACTGTATAAGAGAGGTCCTGGGTTCTGTCTATATGTTACTGTCGGCCACTCTTGGTTAATATAGGCTTCTGGTCCTCTCTCTCTCAGCACTGAAGGATCCCTTCCACTGTTTTTTTCTACCTTTTAAGTTTTTCTAAATTTCCTTTTGCTTTTAAAGAAACTATTTACTTTTAAAGAAATAATTGAATCAGTTTAGGCAGTTAATATCCTTAATTCTATCTGCTACTAAAAGTTTCCTATCATGTAATGTAATATAATCACCGGAGTGACATCAGGGCACAAACATTATGATGACAGAATTCTACTGCCCATGATGAAGGCCAGCACCTCTGACCTCCAGCATCATTACAAATATGGTGTCCCATCTCTCAGGGCAAGATGGGGAGGGTTGGGGAAGAATAGAATGGCAGAGAAGCAATAAGAGGAAGGAAATGATCTTGATTGTTACTGTTAGATATCTATCATTGCAAAGGTTTTCAGAAATCACTTAATATAGGAGATGGAGCATTTATTGGTAATGTTTTAATATCTGTAATTGTCTTCCTAGGAATGGTGTATAATCTCAAATTTCCTGGGCTGATGCATCCACTTCACTATCTCGTTGCCCATCTCCAGGAAACTCCATGGGGATTCACTTCTGTCTCATTCATGAGTATCTCTCTGGCCCACAGTGGAAAATCTGTATCTGTTTTTCTATTTTCACATTTTATGCCCTTGAAAACTTTGGGAGGGCAGACATTTCCCAAATAACCTGTGTAGCGTCAGTCAGCTATCCTGTCTCTTACCTTTTGTATACTTCTAAAAGGGTAGTCAAATCAAGGTGGATTTGACCATTTAACTTCTGAGAATATGTGTTTAAAGCTCCTCAGATGATTTTATAGTAAGTCTCCTTTTTCTGATGAAGTGATTAAGAGATGCTTCCTTATTCAGCCCCTACCAGGATGGATGGAAGACACAGTTCACAGTATGGTTCTTTAAAAATTCTCTTCGTAAGTTCTCAATTGACCTCCTTTTTCTATATTTTTGTACCTTCAATGTGGGTGAAGGACTTGGAAATTCACTTCTCACATCTATTTTGGAAAATTAGCAGATTTGTTCTGAGCTGTACTGCATTAATTTCCAATCTGATTCTATTATCATCTTTATCATCTGGGACCATTTACCATGGGTAAAGAACTGTTTTATATGTTTCACATGTTTTGGCTCAACAAATATTCACAGTATTATGAGATAATGTGCACTAAACATCTCTCTTTTATAGATTAGGAAACTATGACACAGAAAGGTTAATATCTGTAGGCTTCTATCTAAACACTTGGAGGAACATATCCATGGTTGACTGAGGTTTTATTGCTTACTGTAGGGAAAGAGAAGACACTCCATGAGGAACCACAGTGTGTCTCCATACAAGGACATTAGAAAAAGAATCCATTATATAAGATGTGCAGTTGTCTATTTATTTTTTTATTTTTTATTTTTTTGTCGGCTGTGGGGCTTGAACTCTGGGCGTGGGCGCTGTCCCTCAGCTCTTCAGCTCAAGGTGAGCGCTCTACCACTTGAACTACAGCGCCACTTCCGGTTTTCTGGTGGTTTATTGGAGATAGGAGTCTCAAGCTCTCTCCTGCCCAGGATGGCTTTGAACCGTGATCCTCAGATCTCAGCCTCCTGAGTAGCTAGGATTACAGTGAGCCACCAGCGCCAGGCCTCAGTTGTTTATTTTTCAGTAGGTGGGTTTTAAGTCAGGCCAAAGTCTGGCAGATGCTCTACCACTGGAGCCACACACACATTTTTCCAATATTGTGTCCACATTGGCCTGGATGACAATGATTGTATTTATTTTTCTTGAATAGTGGGATAAGGGGTATGTATCATCATGACCAATTTGTTGTTTGAGATGAGGTATCATCAACATTTTGTCATAGCTCATCTTAAACCATAATTTCTTTACATCTCAGGAGGTGAGCCAGTGTTCATAGTTACAACTTGCATATTACTTAAATGTTCTGAAAGGACAATCTAAGCAAGCCAGAATTTGTTCTAGATTAGACGCTATCAGAAAACAGTGTATCTGAAGGGCAGATTAGGATGAACATATATTTGTAATCAATAAAGATGTAGCAGCTATTATGGTAGCCAAATATAGGGTGTTTGTTATTTGTAGATAGCAAAGTGACCTTATGTTTGTTCTTAGAAAAGAAATGGAGTGACATTGCTTATCTTATTTTATCTCAGTCATAGAAGTGTCTTGTTTAAGGTTTGTATTCTGTGTAAATTCTTCAACAGAATTATGTGTCCTAACTAGATGTGTCAAATATCAGATGTACCACTCCATCATCATTTTCTTTCTTAGTGACTTAATATTATAGTTATTGAGAGATAGAACTAGGAATCAAACACAATCTACCACAGGGTCCATATTATAATGACTATGCTTTACCAATAATTTAATTGAAGATTGTTTAAAATTTTCTTTAAATATATTTACCTATGTAAACAATTTATATTCTCCTATTGGATGTGTAATTATAGAAGTTTTGGCTATATTCAGGCATGCATATTTATTTTTAACAAGAAAGCTGCATTTTCTTCCAACGGAGGTATCACTATGTTGATACAGTTAACAACCTCTAAAAGAATAAAGAATTGGTATCTTAGGTGACCTTTCTATTGTTAAACATTATTTGGGTGACCTGTTTCTTTTTTGTGATTGAAAATGGTAAAATATATATTTATATTGTCTTTTAGAGTTACCTATGCAATTACCTCTGTTGGCATTCTATTTTTCTCTGGTAGAATCAAATTACTGCATACTGTCTTGTCTTTTCAGTATGAAGCGCTTCCTATTTTTGGCAGATTTACTCCGCAGGTGATAAATTCTCTCTGTCTTTATCTATCCGGGGCTGTCTTTATTTCTCCATCACTTTTGAATACTGTGTGTGCTAAATAAAATAAGTCTTAGTTACCATCTTTTTTCTTTCTACAACTTGAGGAAGCTCTCCCCTCCCTTCTGGACTCCTTAGTTTCCAATGAAATTTGTACTACATAAATATTGAATATAATAAATCTTGTCAGTGATGAATCACTTTATTCTGCATTTAAAATTTTGTTTTTGTCTTTTGACAAACATATCCAATAGTAGATGCCTTTCTGTTCAATCCCACTTGGGGTTCAGTGAGGTTGATAAATATGTTAAATATGTTCTATTCAATCTTAGAAGCTTTCAGTCATTTCAGGTTCTTCATTGGTTAAACAGTAAATGTAAAATTGACTGTAGATAACTGATTTTCAACACTTCAGAAGTCTGTTGCTTTCTGGCTTATTACTCGCTGGAGGGCCTCCAAAATAGAGTTTTTATATTATTATTCTACCTATCAAAATAGGTAGAAAATCTATATTTTTTATAAATATAGGAGATATTGAAGAATAGGCCAATGTAGTAAGAGCCCTTAGTTATCTTAACACTTCACCTACAAAAGCTATTTTTCATTCTCTGATGGCCTTATTATCAAAGATTTATATATCACTAAGCTTCAGTGTGGAAGTTCTTAATTGTTTTTGCTTAGTAAACTACATTTGACAGTTTCATTAGATTTCCTGAAGTTTAACGGTTGTGAAATGCTATGCCTTCTTTTCATACATAGCCTATCACATAAAATTTTCTATTTATTCCCTCGACTCCCAGGTAGAGCAATGCTAACTTTCTCTACAGTTTTTGGTTTTCTTTATTGAAATAAATTTATGAGATATGCTTTTGTTCCTCTCATATCTTATCTTTCTACTACTTTAATCAATTTTATTACATATTTATTTTAATTACATTCTTTTATCTTAATTATATTCTTTATTATACTATATATTACAACATAAATATTTTATCAAGAATGAGTCAATTTATTATTCTAGTAATAAAATTGTAATAGAGGTTTAAATATCACCTCATGTTTTTCTCTCAGGAAAAAGAAAGCAAGCTTTATTGGAAACTAGACTTTTCTGATGATGATAAATGACCCTCAATACTTGTACTGACAGAGAATCATAGAGGTATTAACAAAATGGATTTAGGTGAAGCCACCAACCACACAGGTGATATTGAAAAAGATCATTTGCCCCGAATGTCAGTAACAAAATTTGAAAAGCTGTCAGACTGAATTTTGATATTAAGGTTTCATCAGAGTAGAATTTATAGAATATCTCTTATGTTGACATGATATATTTTTAGATCAATAATTTTTATAGCATTAATTCTTAATATTTGCTTGTTTTAATGTATTGAACTTATAATTATGATCCCGTAATAATTTTTTGGGGGGTCGGTGGTGAGCCCTAACTCTGGGCCTGGTCGCTGTCCCTCAGATCTTCAGCTCAAGGCTAGTGCTCTACAACTTGAGCCACCGTGTCACTTCCGGCTTTTTCTGCTTATGTGGTACTCAAGAATCAAATGCATGCAAGGCAAGCACTCTACCACTGAACCACCTTCCCAGCCCCCATTATCATTTCAAGTAAGGTATTTAAAAGGCACATGATATAAAATTTCAATCTATCTTTTTTTTTTGTCAGTTGTGGGGCTTGAAATCTGGGCCCAGGCGCTGTCCCAAACTCTTCAGCTCAAGACTTGTGTTCTACCACTTGAGACACAGTTCTGCTTTGAGTTTTCTGGTGGTTAATTGAAGATAAGAGTCTCACAGACTTTCTTGCCCTGGCTGGCTTTGAACTGCGATCCTCAGATGTCAGCCTACTGAATAGCTAGGATTACAAGAGTTATCCACTGGCACATGGCTGTAAATATATCTTTAAAAAAATTACTTTACTGTAAAGGTGATGTACAAAGGGGTTACAATTACATAGGTCAGTTAGTGGGTGCATTTCTTTTTGAACAGTGTCAACTCTTCTCTCATTATCTTCCAATTTATTTCCTCCCAAATCCCCTCTTTCCATATTGTATTGATCATTTTCACCACAGTGTCTAGTGAGTATTACTGCTAAATTAGTTCACCTTTTGTCCTACTATTTATGAAATATTTTATATGCTCCAAAATTATAATTAAAAAAAAGAAAATAATTTAAAAATACTAGTAAATAAGAAAATATCAAATCAGATTGCCTTGCTTGTTAAATACACAATATTAATCAAATATCAAAATGAAACCAACCTAAAGATTTACTGGGAAACTAAAACTTAATTTTATAATAGTATTATATGAAATTTTAGGTCAAGTTTCTGGATAAACTCTAAGCTTCATTTGTTTTAGAAAGATTCTAAGACTATTCATGTGTGAACATAATTTTTAAAGTATAATTATGTTGCATTTGTTGGTGGGCTTTTATATTTATATGGTATTGTAAAAGTTCGCATAATTACAACAAACTATAACAGTTGACAACTGAAGAATTTTGTGTTACATTTACTGAAAATTTCATGTTGACGTGTTTGTGTGTGTGTGTGTGTGTGTGTGTGTGCTGGTCTTTTGCTAAATATCAGGGCCTATGCACTATGAAGTTTTTTTGCTCAAGGCTCGTACTCTGCCACTTGAGTCTTATTTTCATTTTTGTTTTTTGATTGTCAGTTGGAGATAAGAGTCTTGTGGACTTTCCTACAGGGGCTGGAAGGTCCTCAGATCTCAGCTTCCTGAATAGCTAAGATTATACATGGGAGCTACAGGTGCCCTGCCTCAAGTCAAATTTTTTCTAATATATTATTTTCCTCTTTTGGTGGTTTATTTAACAAATCAATTTCCAAATAAATCTCTTATAAAACAACTCATAACTAAGGAAATCCAAATGTAGACAACAGATGTGTTCTGAAAGTATTAATATGACCTATGTAACAAACACTGAAATATTATCATTGTAGTATGTGCTCACTGTGATCTTCATCTGACTTGCTCTATGACACTGTGGGGTTTATTTTGTTTGTTTGTTTTTTTGTTAGTAATTTCTGATAGCAAATCTTGGTTGTTTATTGAAAACGTTTTAATAACAACATATCTTTAAGAATTTTGATTGTTATCACTTCCTTTGTATAGTTGTGCAGAACAGTACAGCAAAAAGTAGTATGTTAATGATGTAGTTCCTATATCATGGCCCTAGTACCATCAATTTTAGTCAAAGAAACCTCAGTGAAGGCCTTCATTATTATTGCCAGTGTATAGTTCATCAGAACTGTGCAAGTAAATATTTCCTATATGGCAGACATTGGCTACAGACTGTGCAAACTTCCTTTTCTCTTCCTGAGCTCAGAGAAAGGTAAAAATCCAGCTTGTCTTGCAGTTAGGTTGCAATAACGTAAGTGGTTCTGGCTATGAGGATAGAGAAAACTCATAGTGCCTGGCCATGGAAGATCTGAACTTCCATGATCTCAGTGTCTGGAAGTAAGCACTCCAAAATAGCAGAGTTAACATGAAATTGGGAACCTGAAGCCTGAGATTCTTTTCTTGGATGGAGCTGTGCAGAAGAATAGCAAAGCCAGGAACATCTGTGATGGATTTATGTAAGTGACAAATAATCATTTGCTGAATTAAGCAACCAAGATATTGCTTTTGTTTGTTATAGCAACTAACAAGTGCTACCCTGAGTCATACAACTGGCAAACAATTTCATTGGAGTTCTTTAAAACGTAATACTTTCCAAATTAGGACATGAAATGAATATGCTATTCATGATTATTCTTTAATTTTTAACATTTAAAAACTTTCTACAGAAGAACTTGAAGGCACAGTCAGAAATGAAAATATATGCATACAGAAAATACATACAACTAAGTTTCAGAGTAAGCTTCTGGAAAAGTTTTGGACAGTTTTGTCAGCAAAACACAGTATTTACATAAGATGGCTGCAACTTAAGTTCAGCTTTTGTTGTTGTTGTTGTAATTAATGCAATTGTACAATACTCTGACAGCATTTTGTAAAAAAATGTAGCTCACAGCTTAATTACATATTTTATAACATAAATTAACAGAGAAGTAGAGTTTAATATGTTTCAAAATGAAAGCAAGCTAGGTGCTGATGGCTCACATGTGTAATCCTAGCTACTCAGGAGGCTGAGATCTAAGGATCATGGTTCAAGTTCTCCCCTGCAGGGAAGTCAGTGAGACACTTATCTCCATTAATCACAGAAAAAAGAACTGGAAGTGGTGCTGTGGCTCAAGTAGAAGAGTGCTAGCCTTGAACAAAAGAGCTCAAGAACAGTGCCCAGGCCCAGAGTTCAAGCCCCAGGACTGGTAAGGAAGGAAAGAAAGAAAAAAAGAAAGAAGGAAGGAAGGAAGAAAGGAAGGAAGGAAAGAGTTAGATGTGAGACAAATCATTGAAATTAGCCTCTGTAGACCTTGTCGGATAATTTTCCCTTGAGAAAAAAATAGAAATCAACCTATAAATGTTCATGGATAATATCATGTTTATGCAGAGGTGAATACTTAGAAGTAGATGACTAACAAACAGAAATTCTAGCAAAGAAAGTGCATTTCCTTTCTTAGATTGGCTTACCTAAGAAGTAGAGCTATGTCCTGCTATCATTTGAGACCTCTCTGGGGAAAGAGAATCAAGACTTATGTCTCATTTTTAAAAATTAATAATGAATCCCTTTTCTCTACCATTTACTCTAGCCTCCTGGAGGTATATGATGTTGAAATCATATGCTGTTCATGAACTAGTTATTTATCTTTTTCTAAATTCCTTGAAATAAATGTGTGCCACTCACATGAGTTTTAGCATAAACCTAAATTTGCTGGCTATTAGGTTTCATTCATTTGTTAGCTTATGCCTTGTTTGTAAAAGTAATATTGATAACATGAATATCTGTGTGTAAGTGTGTGCTTCTCAGCCTGTGTAGTTAGTGGACAGATGGAAATCCTGATATTCTCTTTGTAGTATGTCAAAACAATTACAAAAGCCTATCCTTTGATTTACTATCTAAATTTCCTATCACGAGTCTTTCTTAGTCTTTCTTTGTGTCAATGTTTTCCTAGCATCACCTGAAATTTGATAGAATCACATTTTATAATGGCATTTGCCATTGAGCAAGAAGCATCATATGCTATCCCTACAAAACTTAATTTTGGGTTGCTCAATAAATCCAGATACATATCATTTCCCAAAATCCAGAGTTTCACACAAACTCCATAATAAAGATACATCCATGTCTGAGTGCTTTCTTCTTTGAGAAAACCTGCTCACAGCAGGACTCTGAATGACATTCTACAGAACTATCTCACTTTACTTTTTCAGCTGTCCCTCCTGAGGTCTTTCTGAAACTACAAAGAAAAGGAAACAATAATTCTTTTATGACCCTCATAATTACTGAAATGGGAACACATGGTATTTCTGCACCCATATCAACTTTTTAAAATGTTGTTAGAAAATGGGTGAAATATTTTGGTATCAGAGCCCAATGCAAACTATATCTTCCTATTGTATATTCTCTCTATGTTGAAAATAAACTATACAATTTGCTGGGAAGGAAAAAAATGGGATAAAAATGAGGGAAAAGTTGACATGGTTCAAAAAGAAATGTACTCAATAACTGGCTTATGTAACTTTAACCCTTGTGTACATCACCTTCATAAAAACATTTTTAAAAATAACTTGCTTAATTAAATACTGGTCCAACTGGGATACTCCTAAATTACAACATTAGGTAAATTTGTATTTGGAGCTCCAATGTGAGGTATCACAGGAAAGGAGAGAGGCAGATAGGAAGTGAGCAAATGATGGTAAGTGGAAGCCAATGCTACAGCATGATGAGAATCATACAGTTCCCACTACATAAAATCTCACTTTGGATTCCTATGAATCTGGTTTAGGATTCAGTCACAATGTGTCTTTATCCTGGGGACTACTACACTACTTTCTTTTTAAATTTTTTTATTTTTAAATTTTTTATTAAATTTTTGTAGGTCGTGGCTTGACTTCTGGGCCTGGGCACTGTCCCTCAGCTCCTCAGGTCAAGGCTGGTGTGCTACTACTTGAGCCGCAGTGTCACTTCCGGTTTTGTGAGTGGTTTATTGGACACAAGAGTCTCATAGACTTTCTTGCCCCTGCTGGCTTTGAATCACAATACTCAGATCTCAGCCTACTGAGTATTTAGGATTACAGGTGTGAGCCACCAGATTTTTTTAATGTATATTTTTTGTTGTACAGATATTGTACAGAGGGAC